TGTACAGCCGACGGGACGTAACTGCTGGTGAGCCAGGTCCCCCGCTCTGGGTGTACAGCCGACGGGACGTAACTGCTGGTGAGCCAGGTCCCCCGCTCTGGGTGTACAGCCGACTGGACGTAACTGCTGGTGAGCCAGGACCCCCGCTCTGGGTGTACAGCCGACGGGACGTAACAGCTGGTGAGCCAGGTCCCCTGCTCTGGGTGAGCAGCCGACGGGTTGTAACTGCTGGTGAGCCAGGTCCCCCGCTCTGGGTGAGCAGCCGACGGGACGTAACTGCTGGTGAGCCAGGTCCCCTGCTCTGGGTGAGCAGCCGACTGGACGTAACTGCTGGTGAGCCAGGTCCCTGCTCTGGGTGAGCAGCCGACTGGACGTAACTGCTGGTGAGCCAGGTCCCTGCTCTGGGTGAGCAGCCGACTGGACGTAACTGCTGGTGAGCCAGGTCCCTGCTCTGGGTGTACAGCCGACGGGACGTAACTCTGGTGAGCCAGGTCCCTGCTCTGGGTGAGCAGCCGACTGGACGTAACTCTGGTGAGCCAGGTCCCTGCTCTGGGTGAGCAGCCGACTGGACGTAACTCTGGTGAGCCAGGTCCCCTGCTCTGGGTGAGCAGCCGACGGGACGTAACTGCTGGTGAGCCAGGTCCCCTGCTCTGGGTGAGCAGCCGACGGGACGTAACTCTGGTGAGCCAGGTCCCCTGCTCTGGGTGTACAGCCGACTGGACGTAACTGCTGGTGAGCCAGGTCCCTGCTCTGGGTGTACAGCCGACGGGACGTAACAGCTGGTGAGCCAGGTCCCTGCTCTGGGTGTACAGCCGACGGGTCGTAACTGCTGGTGAGCCAGGTCCCTGCTCTGGGTGAGCAGCCGACTGGACGTAACTGCTGGTGAGCCAGGTCCCTGCTCTGGGTGTACAGCCGACGGGACGTAACAGCTGGTGAGCCAGGTCCCCTGCTCTGGGTGAGCAGCCGACGGGACGTAACTCTGGTGAGCCAGGTCCCCTGCTCTGGGTGAGTAGCCAGTTGGCGTAAAGGTCAACCTGACATTTCACCATCCTTTCCAACAGTGTGTCCAGCCTACTGCACTCCTTGGGGTCTCAATTCTGGCCCCAGGGAGAGGTTTCTCTCAGACCAGCATGACAGGCACACTTGCCAATGTCCACGAGTCTCCACCTAGCCCCCTCCGAAACCCAGAGGCTCTGGCAGTATGGGGACCGTGCCCAAGGTCATACACCTAGGGCGCCGTGATGAGGCCCACTGGTCCCCCTCTGAAGCCCAGGACGCCCTGAGCTGCCCCACCGCCCCTCACGGTCCTGCCCCTGGGGTTGACTCTGCAGCCTGGGTGGTCCTCTTCCAAACCAAACACAAGCGGGGCCTGCCCTGCACTTTCCAGCCCTGGAGGGGCAGGGTCATCGTCCTCATGCTGCTTCTTCAGAATGCTCGTCCCCATGGACGAGAAATGGTCCCCGCTCTCAGAGAATAGCCCGAGGGCCACACTAAGGGCAGACCCCAAGGCTGTCCTCTCAGAGAGCCGCGGCAGGGAGCATGAGGCCGGCTGGCAGGACTTTACGTGGGGACTCGCACTACAGGGTGGGGCCACCAATGCCAGACCCCGTGAAGCCAGGCCAAGGCTCAGGACCACGGAGCTTCCATGTGCTCACAGCCACGGGCCCTTGGCAACTGCAGCCTCCCAGTCTGGGGCGAGGGGCCACGCAGCCTCCCAGTCCGGGGCGAGGGGCCATGCAGCCTCCCAGTCCGGGGCGAGGGCGGGGGGGCAAGGGCTCTCCTGCCCCTGCCCGGGGAACCCCTCCTGTGAACCTTGCTCAGGTCCATGGGGACGAGCATTCTGAAGAAGCAGCATGAGGACGATGACCCTGCCCCTCCAGGGCTGGAGAGTGCAGGGCAGGCCCGGCTTGTGTTTGGTTTGGAAGAGGACCACCCAGGCTGCAGAGCAAAGGTCCTTATTTACATCCTAAAGGCCCACTGGGGTGAAGCGTCAAGGCCTGAACTGCATGGGTGGGAAGCCCAGGTGAGGCAGGCAGTCCCCGGCCCACGGCCCCACAGCCGCTACCCAGGCACCTGTGCGCAGCCCACACGCACTGCGGGACAGCGCAGGCCGGGAGCGCGCTGCCACTCGGTTCAGCAAGAACGAGTCCCCCTCGGCCTGTCTCCCCTGGAGAACCCGGCTCCCCTGCAGGGATGCTTCGCGCTGCACACCGCACACCTGCCTGGGGCTCCTGCGGACGCGGGGCTGCCTGGGGGCACACCCCAGGGCCTCAAGTCCCACCACTGGGCTCGTGGAGAGAGACCGTCTGACCCACAGGCTCCACCGAGGGCCCAGGCAACAGTCACACTGGGCTTTCACTCCTCACCTCCAGCCTAACATGGAAACCGGAAACCTGTCTCAGTGACCCGCGGGGAGGGGTTCCTGTCGCTGGGGGTGCTGAGACCAGGAGCCCTTCTCAGAGCACCTCTGGCCCTGCTGATTCTGCCAGGCACCCAGGGGGCTGGAGGGGCGGCGCCCCCAGCCCAACCCGGAAAGGCCCAGCGCAGGGAGGAACACGACCACGGAGCTCCAGGGGCACCGGGTGGGGGCCCCGGGCGGAGGGCCCCGGGCAGAGGGCCCCGGGCGGAGGGCCCCGGGCGGAGGGAGGGCCCCGGGCAGAGGGCCCCGGCAGTCCTCTCTGAGGGAAGATGAGAGGCCCGAGGAGGCCTGCTCGCAGCACAGACAGGCCTGGGAGTGAGGTGTGGGGCATGAAGGGCCATAGGGGCAGGAAGGTGAAGGGGCCTCCCTGGTATCCTGGGGGGAGGAGCGTCTGAGAGGAATGTCCCCCATGGTGGGCACAGGTGTGCCACCGGCTTGCTTGGCCTTTGCACGCGTCTCAGAACTGGGGAGAGCCTCGGAAAGCGGGCTGTTCGGTTTCCCAGCCCTGTGTACCCGCGTCCGCCTCCCTGTCCCTGCCTGAGCCCCTGCGGGGAACAGGGGAGCTCCGGCCCAGCTCGGCATGCAGCGGGGTGTGGCCGTGGGCTTCCCTACAAGGTTTGTCCAAGCTTCTTAAATTGCAGCCTGAAGAGAGGTGCACGAACATCAGCGGTGCTGCCTCAGCTGCTCCATGTGTGTGCGCAGCACCAAGGGGCAGTGTCCGCAGCCTGGGAGCCCGGCCTCTGCCCTCGGCTTCCCCCAACCCCCACTGCTCTGACCTCCGGCTCTGGTCTAGTTCTGCCTGCTTCTGATCTTCCTTTTAAAAAAGTCACATGCTTTTGTGTGTGGCTTCTTTCAAAAGATTCTGTGAGAGTCACCACGCTTCTGAGTGTAATAACCATTTGCTCATTTCTGCTGCCGGACAGCATTCCTCGTGTGGTCACGCTGTCCTTGACCCACTCTGCCGCTGACGGACACTGGAGCTGCCCACGTGGGGCCACCACAGCTCAGCTGCATGGACACTCCTGCATGTGCCTTGAGCACCCCGACATCTGGTGGAATCATATCCACCGCTGCCACGCCTGGCGCACAGCCGGCTTCCCTTCGGACGGCAGCATAGTGTTTTCACGCACCAAGTTCTTTTATCTTTTCTTTATCCTCACCGGAGGATATTTTTCCATTTATTTTCTCAGATAGAATGGGAGGAAAGGAAGGAGAGAGAGACAGAGAGACACATCGATGTAAGAGAGACAGCGATTGGTTACACCCCAACCAGGGCCAGGGACTGAAATCTACAGCTGAGGTCCATGCCCTTGACTGGGAATCAAACCTGTGACTCTTCGGTCCACAGGCTACCAGCCAGGGCCAAGGTTTTATCTTAACCAGCAGGATAGAAAAGAACTATCCCTGTCCCCGCCCCCGCCCCGGGAATCGGGAATTGAAGCAAATGCACCTAGAGAAGCTTACCTAGAGGAAATTGTGACTCTCACAGGTGTGCTACAGAAGGGTGTGTGTGCGTGCACGTGTGTGTGTGCATGTGTATACTTATTGTTGTGGGAGGGCCTCAGAATGTCCTGGTCAGCTTATCCAAAATAAATGTGAGACCAGAAAATTTAGGGAACGGGCAGGAAATGAGAAGAGATGAGGCTAGAAAAGTAGATTAGGGTCAAACTGCGAAGGGCTTCAAGGCCAAGCTGAAGGACGTGGACTTGATCCTGTAAGCAACAGGAGTCACCAGGCGTGTTCAGCAAACACCCAGTGGCACCCTCACACACTCGGCAGGTGTGGCGCAGCTGCCCGCGTCACCTGCTAAGCTGAGCGCACTGTGGTCTGTTAGTGGGAGCAGGGGACGGAGGGCTAAGTCAGAGCAAACAGCTGTGTTCAGGCCCAGCTTGCCTCTCATCGGGGATGACCAGCAGGCAAAGGACGACGTGCGTGGTCAGCTCACGGACGTATACATGACAGGCGACAGTGCGCACACGCGGGCAAGCCCCGCGGCACACACAGTGTTGAGCAGGGCGGCAGAAGCCACACATTCTAAGATGCTCCCCACTCAGCAATGGCCGCAACTTACTCACTAGAAACCCAGTGCTTCACAGTTACAACAGAGAGACAGGGAATTAACAGGCCTCCAATTAGCTGCAAATCATCTTCACTATAGGGATTCATAGTTGAGTAAACTTGCCCAATAATCCAGAGTCCCAGGAAGATAGTCTGCCAACATTTCCTTCCGCTCTGCAGAAGCTCCTGTCTGGTGTTGGGCAGACAAGAGGAACAGTACTCAGGAGAGTCTCAGAAACCTGGGTGCCAGGCACAGGTCTCCCATGAAAACTGGGGCAGGTCCACAGGGGAGCCCTCCTTTGTTGGCCCCAGAGTGACGATTCGAGCCAGGACTGGGAGAGAGCACTCAAACCTGACCACCACAACCCTCACAGCACCGCCGTGGTGAATGGGACCCCCTTGATCTCAGATGCTGTGGGGTCGCCTCTGTCTCTCTTAGGAAAGGGGGCTCCGAGGTCAGGGTGCCCTGGCCGGTGCAATGACGTGGGCGGCAGAGGAAGTGAGCCCGAGAGCGTGGCCTTACCTCCACGTACAGGAGGGGGAAGATCCCCATCTTGTCTCCCAGCATCCCCTCCGCCCAGTTGTCATCCACTCTTCTGATCACCGTCAGGATTTCATCCTGGGATTGCCGGAGCCCACGATGAGTGCAACCACACGGACACGCACGCACGAAAGAGAAAACAAGAGACTGTTAATGCTGTGGACGCCAAGAAAAGGCTGTAAGCAATTATTCAAAGAATGCGTGTGGTCCATCCCGAGATCTGCCTTGCGGAGACAGTCAGCCCTTGCATTTTCACTCTTCTCTCTTACGTGGTGATCACAGCTACAAAGATTCTCAAATGTTTTCCAGTTATAATACTCAGGAGCCCTCCTTACCCTTGGCTTTGCTTTTCACCATTTCTGTTACCTACGGTCATCTGTGGTCTGAAAATATTAAGTGGGAAATTCCAGAAATAAACAATCCATCAGATTTCAGGTGCATGCCGTTCTGAGTGATGGTGGAATCTCAGCGCACCCCGGGATGTGAGCTGCCCTCTGTCCTGCGCGGCCACGCTGTGGACACTCCCCGCCACTCGTGGCTTAGTGACCATCCGGATCGGCGGTTTTCCATCTTTTTCATCTCCTGGCACACACAACTAATTGCTGAAATTCTGTGGCACACCAAAAAATATATTTTTGGTCGATCTGATAAAAAATTAGGTATAATTTTGACTGATATACAAAAAAACAGTAATAATAGTAATTACCTACCTTTTTTGCTCCAAAGTGACTTTAAAAAAAAATCAGGTGCCTATACTTGCACATAAGGATTTCTGGGACCAAGAATTAACCAGTCAGACTCAACCTTATTATGCAACATGACCAACAAGATGCAACTCTATTATATGACCTATATGTGTGTGGTTCAAGACAGGGCGTTCACACTGGACGGCTGTGTGGGCTGTTGTCATGTTTTATTTGACCATCTAAGGGAAAAGAGGTCAGTGCCCTTGACTAAATACTCAGGTGTTGCATGTTTTAAAAATCCTTATGGCACGCGGGTTGAAAATCACTGGCGTAGATGATCAGGTCACCTGCCACGGAATCACAGGGCCGTGCTCAGGCCGCCCTTGCGCCACTGAACGACGGCCCGGCGCACGGGAGCGGTGACCTGCCCGCAGCCGCGCCGTGTGTGAGCACAGAAACCTGCAGCATGTACTCGGTTCAGACCTGCCCGCAGCCGCGCCGTGTGTGAGCACGGAAACCTGCAGCATGTACTCGGTTCGGACCTGCCCGCAGCCGCGCTGTGTGTGAGCACGGAAACCTGCAGCATGTACTCGGTTCGGACCTGCCCACGGCCGCGCCGTGTGTGAGCACGGAAACCTGCAGCATGCACTCGGTTCGGACCTGCCCCCGGCCGCGCCGTGTGTGAGCACGGAAACCTGCAGCATGTACTCGGTTCAGACCTGCCCGCAGCCGCGCCGTGTGTGAGCACGGAAACCTGCAGCGTGTACTCGGTTCGGACCTGGCCACGGCCGCGCCGTGTGTGAGCACGGAAACCTGCAGCATGTACTCGGTTCAGACCTGGCCACGGCCGCGCCGTGTGTGAGCACGGAAACCTGCAGCATGTACTCGGTTCAGACCTGCCCACGGCCGCGCCGTGTGTGAGCACGGAAACCTGCAGCATGTACTCGGTTCGGACCTGCCCCCGGCCGCGCCGTGTGTGAGCACGGAAACCTGCAGCATGTACTCGGTTCAGACCTGCCCCCGGCCGCGCCGTGTGTGAGCACGGAAACCTGCAGCATGTACTCGGTTCAGACCTGGCCACGGCCGCGCCGTGTGTGAGCACGGAAACCTGCAGCATGTACTCGGTTCAGACCTGCCCACGGCCGCGCCGTGTGTGAGCACGGAAACCTGCAGCATGTACTCGGTTCGGACCTGCCCCCGGCCGCGCCGTGTGTGAGCACGGAAACCTGCAGCATGCACTCGGTTCCGCTCACTGCGGCTGCAGCACCCACTGGAGGCCTTGGAACGTATGCACCCGCAGAGAAGAAGGACCTACTGTAGTTTTTATTTTAAAATTCTTTTTCCCATCATTTAATGAAATAAAAACATTTTGAATACATAGAAATTCAGCTAAGTATGAAACTTTTTACATTTCTGGCTCCATCAAAGAACAAAGGGTGACCCAACTCAACTCCATTCATCTGGAGCGGTGGGGACAGAAGGCGGTTAATGACCCTCTTACGTTCTTTGTCCTGCAAGACAATGTCATGTGCAGACGCACACGGGAAAACCGGTGGGGAGAGAGGAAGAGGCAGGCAGCAAGAAGGAAAGGCAGTGCGGGGGGACGGCATGCGGGCAGTGGTGAGGGAGGAGATGCCCAGGCTGCCTCCACGGATGCCAGGAGCCACAGAAACAGGTGCCAGGGGAACCTGGAAAGGAGGGCAGGAGGGACCAGATGAAGGGGGGCAGGGAGGAGCACTGGGAGGAGAGACCCCTCGGGCTGTGGCCCGGGTCCCGTCGACCAGACAGGGACACGCTGGGAGAGACTGGCACCCACACAGGGGTCTGTACCTAGTCCCCTCCCTCTCCAATCACCATCCTTCCTCCAGTGCACCGGGGGTGTAACGGAACCCCCAAGGACTGTCTGCCTAACCACCCACCAGCTCCCTCTGTGCCACGTCGAGACCTCCCTATCGCTGTCCCTCAAGAATCTGCCAGAAGACCAGTTGGCCCATGGACGCTAATGTGCTAGGGGGTCGCTGGCCAAGGGCAGCCTGAGGGGCAACCCTACTGGACCGGAATGCAGCACCTGCCTCTCGGTGAGACTGCGACACTTCCGTAGGAGGCAGTGACATGGGACTTGGGGACTCTCCCAAGGTCAGAGGGACAGTGCAGGTGAGCGGACTTCATGACGTCACCACGGAAGCTGCGTCACGGAAGCTGGGAGCGGAGGGACCACAGGTGTGGGGCTGAGCTCACGGGAGCGGGGTGTCCCTTTCAGAGGACAAGCAAGGGCGGGTGCTGTGCTTGGCAGCTCCTCCAAGGTCTCTTCCAAACTTCTCCATGGAGCACAGGGTAGAATTCAGGGGCCAGCCCTTGTTTTCCCAATCCTCGCCCCAATTTGACAGCTTTAAAAAGTGCAGATGACAAAACGACTTGTGACTCTGGAACATTTCTCTTCTCAACTGATACGGGCCAGAAGAATGCAACAGACACTATGGCCATCAAACCACGGCACACAGTACCGGGCGGAGGGTGCTGGGCCACAGGCTTTGCCAGGGTTTCCGCCTAATGAACACTCAGCCGCGAGAGCGCCGGCCGTTCTAACAGCTGCCGGGGCCAGAGCGGCTGCCTGGCTGGAGGGCAGGTGCAGAGAGAGGCCTCGAACGCCCACGCCTGCCTCACCTCACGGTTCACGGCCAGCGGCGCCCTGAGCCGATGAACTCAGCTCTGACTCCGTGAACAAGCGGCCCCAGCTCCACTGATCGCGCACAGAGGGGAGCCTGAGGCTTCTACAAGTCAGAGACTTTGCAACAGCAAAATAACAGAAAGGACATTTAGTTTTGTAAAATTAAAAAGAACAAAGTAACATGCCCGACCAGTGTGGCTCAGTGATTGAGCACACCAAGTGGTCCCCGGTTCGATTCCCGGTCAGGGCGCATGCCCAGGTTGTGGGCCCGATCCCCAGTGGGGGCGTGCAGGAGGCCGCCAACCGATGCTCTCTCTCATCGATGTTTCTAAATCTCCCTCTCCCTTCCTCTCTCTCTAAAATCAATAAAGAAAAAAAAAAAAAAGAGACTTAAAAAAGAACAAAGTACTAGATTAATTTTGGTTAAAAAAGAGAAATTGCTGTAATATCCACACTATTATTTAGGCTGGTCTAAAAATGAAAGCCAAAGAAAGAAAAGAAAATCAGAACTGTGAATATTGGAAATCAGAGTATGTAAGTTTCTACTTAGAAAAACAGAGTCTCAAATGAAAATTAGAATAAGAAATCAGAATAGCTGCTAATTTTAAAATAAATACATAAAAAGCACTGATGTTCCCATTTGCCAGGAATAATCAGTTAGAAAATGTGATTAAAATTGGCTAATCATTTTTTAAAATGTTAGTTCTCTAATTCACATATATCCCGAAATTGATTCTATAAAAGACTAAAGATTTAAATGTTAATAATACTTGAATGTCCAAGAAGAAACTATGAATGGATGTTTCTAATCCTGAGCTAGGAAAGGCCTTTTGAAGGATAACAGTGATGTGGCTACAGAAAAAGTACAATTCTCTATGTTAAAAAAAGCACAGCAAAAACAAAAGCAAATAAACTAGTAAAATACTTGCAGGATAGATGAGAGACAAAGACCTAATATTTTTACTATATAGAAACTGAAAGACACAGTAGAAGAAAGACAAACACCTTAAAACAAAAATCAGGCAACTCACACACACAAATAGCTAATTGCCAATAAACACACTGTAAGAATGCAGCACCTGACTAATAATAAAAATGTACATTTTGAAGAAGCAGGTTCCTTTTTTAATCCTTGTTATTGTTTTCCTACCAAATCACCAGAGATTACTGTGAAGCCCCCTCGCAGTGCTGGGCTCGATGCGGAGAAGAGCAGGCCACCGTCTCCGGGGGATATACATGTACGGCGAGCAGTTAGGCAATTCTCGTCAAACATCAAAGCTTACATGCCCACTGACCTGCCAGCCACATTGCTAGAGACGGGATCCTAAGAAAATCAAAGACATGCCGAGAGATTTAGCTCTGAGGATGTTCCTACAGCGTCTGTTCAATTAGAGGAACGCGAGACAAACACACAGTGAACAAGAACTGGTTACATTAGGGCACTGTCCACCAGCACCACCCCCGGCTCCAGCCCACTCTGCCATCCTGTGCTACCTAAGGACGGGGGTGGGGGTAGAGATGCACCTGTGGAGTCCACAGTCTGCAGGCACTATCTCCTTAAAAGTAGACTTTGAGCGCCCGGCTGGTGTGGCTCAGTGGCTGAGCGTCGACCCTGCACCATGAGGTCCCCGGTTCGACTCCCAGTCAGGGCACATGCCCAGGTTGTGAGCCCGATCCCCAATGAGGGGCATGCAGGAGGCAGCCAATCGATGTTCTCTCTTATC